AAAAAAAAAGAACAAAAAAAAAGAACAAAAAAAAAGAACAAAAAAAAAAAGAACAAAAAAAAAGAAAAAAAAAGAGGTGGGTTGTGTGGTGAAGAGTGGCTTGTGTTAACCATGGTGGGTGGTTGTAAAAAAAAGACAGCGTTGGTTTGACAGACCGTAGAAATATGATATCCAGTCTCCGGAATGGAGTGTGTTTTTGTCCAGTCAATCCGTAGGGGATTATGTATGTTGCCCAGTTAATCCGTAGCGGATTATGTATTTTGCCCTGTAAATCCGTAGTGGATTATCTTTTTTTTTCTGTCGTTTTGCTTTATTGGACCCTTTTTTTTCAATTTGTGCATGTCATCCTTTGGCAGGGGCCATGCCAATCTTCGTTCTGTATCGTTCCAAGGGGCCATGCCAATCTTCGTTCTGTATCGTTCCAAATTTAGCGGATGTCCCGAAGGGCTGGATTATGTGTTTTTTTTGCCCAGTCAATCCATAGTGGATTATGTATTTTGCCCAGGCAATGAGTAGTGGATTTTTGTGGTTGTCTTTTTGCTTTACTGCCAAATTATTCGACCATTTTTCAATTTAAGTGGGTCATCCTTTCGCAGGGTCCATGCCAATCTTCTTTCTCTGTATCGTTCCACATTTAGCGCATGGCCCGAACGGGCTGGATTATGTCTGTTTTCGCCAAGTCAATCCGTAGTGGATTATGTATTTTGCCCAGTCAATACGTAGCGGGTTATTTTCTGCCGTTGTAGACCGAAAGCCGAAAGTGTGACCTAGCTCAGTTGGTGCGTCCCTGAACTGTTGAAAAAAAAAAAAAAAAGACCTGAGTTTGAACTCCACTGGAAGCAAATGAGAATGAGTTAAAGTACTTTTTTCGGAGTTCGCCAAAATTCTTCCCGAATTCGGTGTTTTTGCCAACTTTTTCGTTACTGGTCCAAATATGTCGAAACTGAATACAGACAATTATACCCTAAAGCACATGCATATCAGACACAAAAAAAAAGCAAAAAAAAAACAAAAATTCACGGAAATATGGCAGTTTCGGTGAAAAATTTGCCGAAAATGACACCACCAATTAAAGACGAGTGGTTCTCTCTTGTCAGAGTGTAAGGGCATCCTGTCACTACACCCCCCTCTTCCGCCCCCCCAACCCCACCCTCTTCTTTCCAACTCCTTTGTGCTCCTTTCCAACTGAGTTTTGAGGCGTGGGGGCATAAAACATGACCCAGCTGCAGGAGGGAGCCAAAGGTGCCTTCAAACCCGTTTTCGAAATTCTATCTAGGATTATGTTTAGGGATCATCGAACAGAATGAAGGGACGCAGGTGATGATTGACGATGTATACAAGGGACGCAGGTGATGATTGACGATGTATACACATAAAAGGCAACCGAAAAAAAACAGAAAAAAACTACGCGTTTCTAAGTGGGGCAGGTGTGTGACTTCCCGGGCACCCAAAGGACCAAATTGAGGGATGAAGCAGTCTGATAGAGCGATCGTGCAACAACCGTTTCCCCCCCCCCCTCTTCCTTTTTTTTCTTGCGCCCCCCCTCTTCCCCTTTCCCTCAAAGCCTGCAAATTAGAGAGAAAGAACTGCAGAAAGAAAAGGTTTAGAGTGACCTTTGAGAGCTCCATAAAAAGTGGATGATACGGAGAAGATTAGCAAATCGAGAAATGGTCCTTTTTTTGTTTTTGAGAAGAAGAAAAAAGATGTAGTGTGAGGGTGCCCTAAGTGTAGTAAACTAGGTTCAAGCATCCATACGATATGAATTTGCAGGAGCGAAAAAAAAGCCAAAGCCCAAATCCATTGATGAATGGTCAGTGGTTGGATATTTGTTTGATCAGTTGATTGACCACCTATGATTCTTCTTTCTTTTTTTTTCCCCTTTTTTGAAATTTTGGAAGGCTGGAACAGCTGGGGGAGCAGCTGTGAGGTAGACTTGAGGGGACAGGACACCGTCAGTTACCTGTACTGTGGCAGCAGTCTCTGTTGGCGCCTTCATTGAAGAGCACCCTTACCTTTGGGGGGAAGGTCAGGGGACCTGCATTGTGCTGCTGCTGCTGCTGCTCTCCTTAGACTGCCACCTGCCTTCCTGCCTTTTCAAGGAGATTGACAATGAGAGCCTGGACTACTCCTATTGTGGAAGGTTGAACTTTTTTTTTCTGAGCTACGGGTGCGCGCGCTTTGTACGTACTCTTCCGTCGGGGGTTCCGATAAAGGGGTCTCCGACTCTTTGGGCAGCCCTAGTTTTATTGCCCTGCCCTCGGCGCCGGAAGACCAGTCAAGATGGGTATCACCGAGAGGATCCGCGAAATCGAGGCCGAAATGGCCCGTACTCAGAAGAACAAAGCCACAGAGTACCATTTGGGCAGGCTGAAAGCGAGCATTGCGAGATTGAGAACGCAGCTGTTGGAGCCGCCGAAAGGCAGTTCTGGTGCCGGGGACGGTTTCGAGGTGACAAAGTATGGCCACGGACGTGTTGCTCTGATTGGTTTTCCTAGCGTAGGTAAGTCAACTTTGTTGACTTTATTGACAGGCACCCGATCGGAGGCCGCTGCTTACGAGTTTACGACTTTGACCTGCATCCCTGGCATTATTCACTACAACGATGCGAAAATTCAGTTGCTCGATCTTCCGGGGATCATAGAAGGCGCTGCGGAGGGCAAAGGTCGTGGACGGCAGGTTATCGCTGTCTCGAAGTCGTCGGACCTTGTGTTGATGGTTCTCGATGCCTCGAAGGGCGATAACCACAGGCAGATTCTGACCAGGGAACTGGAGTCAGTTGGCTTGCGGCTTAACAAACGGCCTCCACAGATTTATTTCAAGCGGAAGAAAACCGGTGGAATCTCCTTCAACAGCACGATGCCGCTGACCCAGGTGGACGAAAAACTGTGTTACCAGATATTACACGAGTACAAGATCCACAATGCGGAGGTGCTGTTTCGAGAGGATGCATCCGTTGACGACTTCATCGACGTGATCGAGGGGAACCGGAAGTACATCAAATGCTTGTATGTGTACAACAAGATCGATGTCGTAGGAATTGATGACGTGGACGCACTTGCAAGGCGGGAGAACTCGATCGTGATCAGCTGTAATATGAAGTTGAATCTGGATCGGCTTCTGGCGAGGATGTGGGAGGCGATGGGCCTAGTGAGGGTATTCACGAAGCCCCAAGGGCAACAGCCGGATTTCAGCGACCCAGTCGTCTTGTCAACGGATCGAGGAGGGTGCACGGTGGAAGACTTCTGTAACCATATCCATCGCAGCCTGGTCAAGGACGTAAAGTATGTGCTGGTGTGGGGAACGAGCTCCAAGCATTACCCCCAGCGGTGTGGGCTTGCGCATGTACTAGAGGATGAGGATGTCGTGCAAGTCGTGAAGAAGAAGGAGAAGGAGGAGGATGGAAGGGGTCGCTTCAAGTCGCACTCGAATGCACCGGCAAGGATTTGTGATAGAGAGAAGAAGGCTCCCCTCAAGACCTAATCGATTTGCCGTTGAAAATACACAATGACATCCTTTGTTTTGACATCATCCCATATTCCTCGTTAGGACTCTAATAAATATAAATTACTTCGAGAAAGGGCAAATTTCGAAGAAAGTAGAGCACTTGCAGAGTACAGCAGGTTTCTCAAGGGCTCGTGCGGATACGAAACAGATCGATCAATGTGCTGCGGTGTTGCCATTTGATCATGGCGGTGACTGCCAGAGTGAAGGGAAACAAAAGGCCAAATTACTCATGTCCATGTGCTTATGCACACTTTTTTCCATCAAAAGTGTGATCAACGGAAAGAGGGATGGAGGGACCACATTACTGGCCCACACGTCGCTGTCCAGTGCGTGATCATGTGTGCATGCCCCGGTGTTTTTGTGTGTGTGCGCTTGTGTGTGTGTGTGCGCGCGCGCTTGTGTTTCTTTGTGTGTG